GGAGACATAGTGTGAATTAAACAGGATGCACTTCAATAAGACAAATGCAAACTACTACACTTAGGAAGAAATAATCAATTGCATAAATACAAAATGGGAAATGACTGTTTAGGAAGGAGTACTGCAGAAAGGGATCTGGGAGTTATAGTGGATCACAAACTAAATATGGATCATCGATGTAATACTGTTGCAAAAAAAAGTGAACATTGTTCTGGGATGTATAATTGGGAGTGTTGTAAGCAAGACACAAGAAGTAATTCTTTTGCTCTACTCAGCACTGATAAGGCGTTAACTGGAGTACTGTGTCCACTTCTGGGCACCACACTTCGGAAAAGGTGGACAAATTGGAGAAAGTACAGAGGAGAGCAACACAAGTGATTAAAGGTCTAGAACACATGACCTGCCAGGAAAGATTGAAAAAAAAATGGGTCTGTTTAGTTTGGACCAGAGAAGACGGAGGTGGGACATAATAACTGTCTTCAAGTATGTAAAAGTTTGTTATAAAGAGGAGGGTGATAAATTGTTCTCCTTAACGATTGAGGGCAGGACAAGAAGTAATGGGCATAAACTGTAGGAAGGGAGATTTAAGTTAGATATTAGGAAACACTTTCTAACTGTCAAGGTAGTTAAGCTATTGAACAAATTACCTAGGGAGGATGTGGAATCTCCGTCACTGAAGGTTTTTAATAAGAAGTTAGACAAACACCTGTCAGGGAGGGTCTAGATCAGGGGTGGGCAAACTTTTTGGTCCGAGAGCCACATCTGGGTGGGGAAATTGCATGCAGGGCCATGAATGTGGTGCTGGGGCAGGGGGTTGGGGTGCAGGAGGGAGTGTGGGGCGTGGGATGGGGTGCAGGGTGTATGAGGCGGCTCAGGGCAAGGGGTTGGGGCAGAGAAGGGGTGCGGGGTGTACGAGGGGGCTCAGGGCAAGGGGTTGGGGTGCAGGAGGGGGTGCGGACTGTGGGAGGGGGCTCAGGGCAGGGGTGCAGGGAGGAGTGTGGGAGGGGGCTCAGGGCAGGGGGTTGGGGTGCAGGAAGGGTGCGGGGTGTGGCAGGGGGCTCAGGGCAGGGAGTCGGGGTGCGGGGTGTAGGAGGTGTTCGGGCTGTGGGCTCTGGCCCAGCACCGCTTACCTGGAGTGGCTCCGGGGTGGCAACAGCGTGCACTGGGGCCAGGGCAGGATCCCTGCCTGCCTGCCTGCTCTGGCCCTGCGCCGCTCCCGGAAGTGGCCGGCATCACGTCCCTGTGGCCCCTGGGGGAGGGGGAGCAAAGGGCTCCACGCACTACCCTCGCCTGTAGGTACCTCTCCCAAAGCTCCCATTGGCCTTGTTTCCCCATTCCCGGCCAATGGGAGCTGCAGGGGGCGGTGCCTGCAGGCGAGGGCAGCGTGCAGAGCAATCCCACAGGCCAAATCCAAAGCCCTGATGGACTTGATCCGGTCCACGGGCCATAGTTTGCCCACCCCTGGTCTAGATAATACTTAGTCCTGTCCTAGATTTCTATGATTCATTAGGTGACCCTTGGTTCTTGTGTTATATGAAGGGGTAAATAACACTTCTCTATTCACTTTCTCCACACCAGTCATTATTTTATAAACCTCTGTCATAACCCCCTTAGTCATCTCTTTTCTAAACTCAATAGTCCAAGTCTTTTTAATCTCTCCTCATATGGAAGCCGTTCCATACCCCTAATAATTTTTGTTGCCTTTTCCAATTCTAATATACCCTTTTTGAGGTGGGGTGACAAGAACTGCAAGCAGTATTCAAAGTGTGGGCATACCTTGGATTTATGTAGTGCCATTATGATATTTTCTGTTTTATTATATACTTCTTTACTCATGGTTCCTAACATTCTATTAGCTATTTCTCACTGGTGCTGCATAATCAGCAGCTGTTTTCAGAGAACTATCCACAATGACTCTAAGATCTCTTTCCTGAGTGGTAACAACTACTTTAGAACTCATTGTTTGATACGTATATTTGGGATTATTTTTTTCCAATGTGCATTATTTTGCACTTATTAATATTGAATATCATCTGCCATTTTGTTGCCCACTCAGTTTAGTGAAATCCCCTTGTAACTCTTCACAGTCAGCTTTAGACTTATCTATTTTGAATAATTTAGCATTGTCTGCAAACTTTGCTACCTCACTATTTACCCCCCTTTTCAGATCCTTTATGAATATGTTGAACAGCACTAGTCCCAGTAAAGATTCTATTTATCTTTTTCCATTTTTAAACTGTCATTTATCCTTACCCTTTGTTTCCTATCTTTTAACCAGTTACTGATCCATGAGAGGACCTTCCCTCTTATCCCATGACTGCTTACTTTGCTTAAGAGCCTTTGGTGAGGGACCTTGTCCAAGGCTTTCTGAAAGTCTAAGTACACTGCATCAACTGGATCACTCTTGTCCACATACTTGTTGACCTCTCTGAGAATTCTAATAGATTGGTGAGGCATATTTTCCCTTACAGAAGCTGTGCTGGCTCTTCCCCAACATATCACGTTCATCTATGTGTCGGATAATTCTGTTCTTTACTATAGATTCAACTGGTACTGAAGTTAGTCTTACCGGCCTGTAATTGCCAGTCATCTGGTGCGCAGGCTAATTTAAGTGATAGGTTACATACTACAATTAGTAGTTCTGCAGTTTCATATTTGAGTTCCTTCAGAACTCTTGGGTGAATACCATCTGATCCTGGTGACTTAGTACTGTTTAATTTGCCAATTTATTCCAAAACTACTTCTATTAACACCTCAATCTGGGACAGTTCCTCAGATTTGTCACCTAAAAAAATGGTGTGAGAATCTCCTTCACATACTCTGGGTGAAGACCGATGCAAAGAATTCATTTAGTTACATTTAATGATATTATAGCTGCTATTACTAAGCAGTTCAGCAATATTCACCTTTTGGACCAGATCCTTTGCGCCATTTAGGACTAAATCAAGACTTGCCTCTCCCCTTGGGAGTTCCAAGTTAGCTGCTCCAAGAAGCAGTCAATAATGGCATCTAGAAATTTATCTCTGCATCCTGTCCTGAGATAACATGTACCCAGTCAATCTGTGGATAGTTGAAATCCCCCATTATTACTGGGTTTTCTGTTTTAGTAGCCGCTCTAATCTCCCTGAGCATTTCACAATCACCATCCTGGTCAGGTGGTCAGTAGTTTATTCCTACTGCTGTACTCTTTTTATCTAAGCATGGAACTTCTATCCATAGAGATTCTATGGTACAGTTTGGTTCATCTAAGATTTTTACTATATTTGACTATATTATTTCTGTCACATATAGTGCCACTCCCCCACCAGTGCAACCTACTCTGTCATTCTTATATATTGTGTACCCTTGTATTACCATGTCCCACTGATTATCCGCATTCCACCAAGTTTCTGTAATGCCTATTATATCAAAATCCTCATTTAACACCAGGCATTCAAGTTCACCCATCTTAGTATTTAGACTTTTAGCATATGTATACAATCATTTATAAAATATGTCAATATTTACTGTACCAATGTATCAAAAGCTTCAAGCCTTCGCTTAGTTATAAAAGTTTCCCTCATTCACCCAGGGAAAGAAAACAATGCCTTGTAACTTGTGTGATCGAAACTAAACAATGTAGCTCAACTTTCAATGGTCAGATAATAGATACTCCTGGTGAATTGTTTGTGAGCCATCTGAAGAAACCCTGGCCTAGTTGTTTACACTCAACAGGGACCCATGATTGGAACAATAGAAGTGTTCAAGGCTGAGGTACAAGTTGGTAGAGGAACTGGGCAAAATTTTCTGGACAAATAGTCTTAGGTCAACTAAAACTATTCTTAAATTTGAGTCAAATTCAGCAAATGATTTCAGCCAGGAAAAAAACATCTAGAAAGTCAAATTGTTTCATTCTATAGAAACAAATGTTTCTGGATTTTTTTGGTTTAGCCACTGAACTGAAAAATCAATTATTCATTTAGCTCTAATTGGCAGAGCTGTGTAGGTAAAGCTGCCCACTCTGTCCCAGGAGCTGTCGGTCTCTGCCTTCCAAGAGCACAAAAATTCAGAGACATACAGAATTTGTGTTCCAATCCTTTCGTTCTCTGTGTCTGTCTCAAAGATTGATCTAGTGTCACTTTAAAGCTTGCAATGCACTTGACATCCTTTAAAAAACTTGTTTGCTAACAACACAAAACACAAGAAGAGCATTTATGTATTTCTGGATGGCATTTGCTGTCTATGATTTTAGTTCATAGTCCCTTTCCCCCCACATCTTTCTCCGCCCCTGCTGCCACAATTAGATGCTCTCCCACACTAGGGGCCTTTTGCACCACTGGACCAGCACAAAGGGGCCGTAAACTGACCAATCAACCCAGATGGGAATTCTCCTGGTGTGAGGGAGTCCCCAGTGGTGAAGAGCTGGTGTAGTCAGCTGTAATTCTAACCCCTCCAGCCATAGTGTAGGGGGTGAGTAAAAGCAGTAACAGGTTTAGAGCACCTCTGAGGTGGTTCTAAAAACTAAGGCAGGGCTCAGGTCAGCATAGAACTAGTCCCGCAATCACCCTCTTCAATCCCTCCCCAACCCCCATCAGCTGCAGCCAGAGCTTACTGAGCACAGCTGACAATCTAGCCCTCAATATTGCTAAGTAGATATTACATGTATTACGTAACAGGTCCCATCTCCTAACATAAAATAAATACATGCTGCGTTCAAAAAACCCTGGACCAAACAAAGTTGCTACCCTGGCTCTCTGAACCTACTTTACCATTGCTGTTTCATCCAGGCAGTAGCAGGTTGAACCATTGTGCTACTCCTTTATACATACTAGGAGCTACTGTTACCTTCTTATCAAATTCTGTGCATTCTTTTCTTGCCTCCACTTTGGGGAACGAGTATAATTTTAAATGGGTTCATTTAGGTTTTAAAATTTAAAAGCCTTCTTAATGCCAAGCTAAAATAGCTCAGTGTGTCAGAGGCATTTTCTCTTTTCCTTTTCTTCCCCTCCCACCACCTCTAGCTGGAGGGTCAGTGTAAGGAACTCCACAATGACAAACAGGAGACCAAAGTGGAGAACACCAAGCTGAAGCTAACAAACCAAGAGCTGCTGCAGGAACTGGAGCGAACGTCTCAGGAGTTAATAGTCGCCCAGCAACAATTACAGACGCTCCAGGAAGAGGCTTCAAAACTACATGAAGAAAAAGAAATGTAAGTGACAGCTGCCTGTGGCACCAGTATGCTTGCTTGAAGTGACAGCAAGCCTGATTCTCCATATGCACAGCACTTTGTGGAGGGACTTTAACACCTGTCCAAAATGCATGCAATGCTGAGGGAGTAATACGTGAGGTCAGACCAATGCAAGAACTACAAACTTGGTTACATATGGGACAAACAAGATTGTCCATAGCCATAGCAGGCTGTTGTATCCCTGCTTTACCCTGTTTACATTTTTCACATAAGGTGTTAATGTACCTTGCTTCAAAGTGGTTAATGACAACTCTGCTGCCACCTTGCACTGTTGTGGGCTGTTGCTTCCCAGTTGCTGGGGGTCAGCCTGACATGTTGTCAAGTTTGACTTCAGTGTGTTTTTATATCGTTTGTATTAGCCATCATAAGAATGAGCTTGACTTTAGCTAACCATACACTATGGCCTTGGATATTCTCAAGTTGACCATATGTATGAGATGCCCAGATCAATTCAGTTGAGCTTTTATGAGTATGCTTTTTTGAATGCCAGACATCCAACAGTTATTGAGAATTGTAAAAGCACTACCAAAACACAAAAGTTTTACACCTGTTTTGAACTCACTCTTTTCACCAGCAACATATAGTGACTACAGACGGTTCAAGATGGTAGAGAATCATTTCCACTTTTTGTACCATGTTTATTTAAATATTATTATTTTGCTTTAAGGAAGCAAATTCTTAGTGCTGTGTACTAAAATAGACAACATTAATAATATTGCACACCACAACATAGTGAACCAGATCCTGAGCTGTGCCAGCTGCACAGAAGAGGTGGGCAAAACTTGTCATTTGTTTCTTGATTTTCTTGACTCCAGAGGAGCAGAACAAGGCCTGTGCAACACTTACGTCCATTTAAAGGAATATTTATTAGAGCTGGTGAAAAAATTTCCACTGAAACTATTTTTCAACAGAAAATTGGCTTTTTCAATTCAGCAGAATTGTCATGAAAAGTGCCTGCTTTCTGAAGAAAATTTCAGTTTTTCATTAAAACAAATCGGAAGACCTGAAAGCCAAAAAGTATTTTTTTGGCTGAAAACCAAAATATTTCTGCTGAAATTTGATTGAGAAATGCCTTTTGGTTCCCCATGGGAATTGTAGTTTGGCTGCCTCGGAGACCATTCTCCTCTATTGGTTGGATTTTTTGGTCATACTACATTTCCCATGATTCATCATGGCTATGGGACAGCCATGATGCACCATCTTCCCTAATCAAGAGAGGAGACCATGGTGGAACATGCAAAATTTAGTCCAACCAGCGAGCTCAGCCTATAGAGGAAAATGAAAGCATGAGCCACTCGAACTGCAGTTCCCTGGAGATATTGTGGCAGCAGCATTTCAGAATTTCTGTTTTCAGCTGAAATATTTTGAATTTCAATTTTTTGGATAAAACTCAAAATTTTCTGCAGGAAAAAACATTTTCCAGCCAGGTCTAATATTTAGGGGATGGAAATTGGAGGGAAGTGAAACACAAGTCTTGTGTTGTCCCTCTGCAGTGGAGTAATTATACCTTAATGCTGGAATTTTTAGAAAGGTTCAGATTTTTACCACTAGGGCCAGATTTTCAAGAGTTTAGCTCCCATATGGGTACCTAAAAAACACCCTAAGTGTCACAGTAGGAGCAGCTAGGTGCTGAGTACTTTTTTGAAAGTCTGGTCCCAACTGCAGATCCTGAGCACTTGAAAATCTGGACGCTAAATGAAGGCCAGCTACAGGCCTCAAATTCTCTTTCCATGAGCATTTATTCCTAATGAGTCTTACCTCCCACTAATATTCATGAAAAACAATCAGAGAAAGTGTGCACATTGCTAAGCTAAATTGGATTCAGAATTAGCAAAAGTTTCATGACTATTTCTCCCCGAAATCCAATCATTTCAGCTGCAGATAATGTAACTCAGTGCTGGGAACTCAGCACCTCTCAGGGTGGGGCATCATCTTGGACTAAATAATGTTTCCTCTCTTCAGAGGGCCATTGGTCCAAACTCTACTTAGCTATTGCTAATTTAATCTGTTTTGAACATATGAGGAGTATTCCTTTGACTATAGCCACCCAGAGCCAAGCCCATTTCAAACACAAGGGCCAAATCCTCAGCTGATTTTTGTCGGCTGAGGGTCTAGCTCTGAGTTTTGCATGCTGCCTCATTTTTATATGATTCATTTATAATTTTGAAGTGAACAGTGGCAGTATTTCTCCCCTTTCCCTCCCCCCGCAAGACCATTTCCTCTTTGAAGGGCCTCACTTATGAGCTATAGAACAAAGGCAATGTTGCAATCAGTTGCAGGCTGATTCCAAAGGAAGTGAGGAAACCAGCAGGAAATCGGTGAGTGGTATCTCAGCTGCTCTCCATTCTTGTGGTCAAACTACTGAACGATGATGATGATTTTAAGTTTGTAAAGCACTTTTTATTCCAAAATACTTTATGGAATTAGCGGTGGATCATGCCCAGCTTTCCATGCAATGGTGTGGCTCAGCACTGCCCCCAGGGCAGGCCAGAGACTATAAGGCACAACTGAGCTGTTAAAAGCTGATCTACTGTTCAGACCACACACAGGTAGCACTTCACACACCATTACAAGGCAGAAAACAACATGGACCAAACCCTCAAGTGGTGTAAATCCATGCAGCCCCATTGAAATCAGTGGGGTTATACTGATTTGCATCATCTGAGGATCTGACTCCATGTGTTTAATGCTGCACAACAGTTTAGGTCAGGAAATGGAGAGGAATAATATATCCAATAAGAGAAAACTGGGTTAGCCAAATGTCATTACCTGGATTGAAACTTGGCCAGCATAGGAAGGTTAACCCCTCTAGCCTTGTGAAAAGTTTCATGGGATCTTTAATGATCACAAGTGATTAGGGCCTTAATTTTAAGTCTTATCTGAAAGACGCCAGCTCCAGCATCCCAGTGTAGTAAATTGACTGGATGAAAATCCTAAAAAGGTCAATCTTCTAACTCCTTGGTTGTTAGTTACTCCTGGCAGAATCCAACCTAACAAAAAAAAAGTGAGACTAACCTGATCACGCAGTCCTTACTGTGGCTGAGCTCCGTTGATGTTATTGACGGTTTAGCCAGAGTAAGGACTGCAAAACTGAGCCTAAAGTGGCATTTTCTAAGGGTTGTAGGAAGCAGCATATAACTACTATGTTAAAATGTCCATGACAGATATCTTTCTTTGTTTCCCTCTGTTGTAGGGAGGTATACAGGGTGACAGAAACTTTAGAGCGAGAGAAGTCGGGACTCCTTAAGCAGCTGGATTTCTTAAGGTAACACACACAATCATTTGCAGGATTTCTTGCATTATCATTATAAAACTATGTGTTTATTTTAAAGCTCATAAACTATGACCCCAAACCTAGCAGAAATGCCATTTTGGGATTAATCCCAGCATATAGAAATTCCTCAGTGGCCTAGAAAGAGTGGAATATCCTTACAGCATCTGTCCTGTCAGAGCTCCCTGCCCCCCACCATAGGGGGCCTGCCAAGGAAAGACAGGGGTTTTGTCAGGGCATGCTGCACTGTGGCTATTCTGTGCTGTGGAATAATATCTAGGAGGCTGTTTCAGCCAAGTGCAGGTCAAAACAGTTGTGAGGCTGCCCTGACTTTGTAGTGGGCCAGACCTTGGATACAGGAGATTCAAAGGTAGCTTAAAGCTCCTTTTGCCTTTCATTGCTGCACCAAGTGTAGTTCATTCAGAATAGAGACTGTTAGTTTAAATATATATATAATAGATATGGCTGATTTTCTGCCTAACATTTTTATATTAGTATAATGCCAGCATTGGAAGCTAGTTCTGGGCACTGTTTAATGTCCTTTGTAATGTGAAATAGTATCTAATATAAATATTATCACTTGATTTTTGTTACTAGATTATTCAATTTATATGAGCTAATTATACGTGCATTTGAGCAATAGTCTTTCATCCAATGTGCATTTAAAAATATTTCAGATGGACTCATGTACAATTACATCAGAGGCTCCCAAATTGTAGTCTGAGACCCGCTGTTGGTTTGCAGTGCATTTGCCAATGTACAGCACTCTGTCCCCCTCCATTGGTGACTGGGTCACAGATAGAGGTTGATGAGCCTGCTAGAACTTTGGCTAGCTGACCTGGGTCTTTCTGTGAGCCAAGGCAATAGTAGACCCATTAACCTCTTTGTGTGACCCAGCCGCCATGAGAAAGTGACAGAGTACCATCCAGAGTGGGTGTGGCTTAGATCTGCAGAGAGCTGGCTTGTCACATGGAACACCTCTTCTCTGTTATTTCCAGGAGCTAAATCGCATTAAGAGAAGCTGAACACATTTGTTATTTTCTTAAAGCTGCTCTTCTACATCAGCAATCACAGTTGTTGTCACAGGGATGTTACGTGGTCGTGACAGGTCTACGCAGCTGTGGTTGGGAGGGCGTGCACCAAACAAGCTCTCTATTAAGATCTATGGAAAAGTTTGAAACCCCTTGATTCAGAGTAAATGAAGAAATATTGTTCATGTTTTTTTTCCACGTTAGAAACTTTTGCTTTGACATTTTTAGATTGAGAACCAGATGGTCTAAATTAGTGTAGTCCCCACTGAATTACACCAGTTGGGGATCTGGACCTGTGATAATATAGATGAGTTAAAGTCAAAGTTGGAAAACAGCAGAATAAAGACAATGCACTTCAAGAAGGCAGATTTGATCAGATGCAGAGAATTGGTAGGTAAGATCTAGTGGGAAGCAAGTCTAAGGGAAAAAAGAATTCAGGAGAGGGGAGGTTGTGGAATCTCCAGCATTAGAGGTTTTTAAGAACAGGTTAGACAAACAGGGATGGTCCAGATAATACTTAATCCTGCCTGAATGCAGGGGACCAGACTAGTTGACTTATCATTTCTATGATTCTTTGGAGAAATATCAACGTAAAAATATATTAAAGACATTAAAGTAAAAACCCAAAGATCTGGGTTTGATACTAAATTTCTACCGTAGTTTGCTGGTTCTTTTACTTGTTTCCTTTCCTTACAGAGAAAGGAACAAACATCTCAGAGATGAACGAGACATGTTTTTACAGGTACACAAATACCATTTTATAACTCAGAAGTTATCAAACTGAGATCAGAATGGTCTAAAATATGGGGACCAGAATGTTGTAGGAGGGAAGAGATTCTTGTGTCATTCCTCTTCCCTCCCGCACTCGCCACCTTCCCAGTTAAAAGCAAGATTTATGGCAACAAAAGGTATTTATTAAATAAAACTGAAAGCCACTGGAAGCCAAATATTTAGGTTACTAAAACTCCAGCTATTTTAGGGGAAGGGAATGAATACTAATGAACCTAGTTTATAAGAAGCTAAGGAGACAATCAAGAAGGAATGAGATAATCTTCAAATGGAACAATTAAAATTCAAGTGTTTATCTATCCAATCAACAGTAATCTCTTTAAACATGTATACATCAGTGCAGTACCTGAGTACTGAACAAAGATAATTGCATTCTAAGAGTCCTATCCTCCTGCCAATGGATACAAGTCAATCCCATTGACTTTGTGTCCTGCAGCAGGAGACTAGGTCCCCAGGACCTGAGAGATATCATGGCTTCCTTTTCTCTACTCAAGATAATTCAGAATTATGATGTCTAATCATTTGCAGAGGTGGTCTGTGTTTCCTTTCTCTCCAAGAAGGAGTGACACTGGGTCAGATTGTCAGCTGGTATAAATCAGCATAGCTCTGTTGGTTTCATTTATTTCAGTGGAACTCGGCTGATTTACACTGGCTTATGGTCTGGGCCACTGGGTCTATAAGGAAGATTAATTGTTGTAGAATCAGGATTTTCCATGTTGTTTTTATTTATCACTCAAGATTTTGAAACATTTGCCTCTCTGCTAATCCGTCAATTACTTTCTGTGGCTCTAGCACTAGCAACAAATAGACTGAATTATTAACCATAACGAATAGCAAGAGTCAATTAATAAAATAAATAATATATTTCTGCAGAAAAGTAAAACAAATGCTCCAAAAGCCAACTGGAAAAAAAGATCAGGATCTATCATTGGCAAATATGTAGAGGGAAAGGCATCACTTAAGAGGTAAGGACTTAATTTTGCTATTTGGCATATGTTTGACAGTTACCGGGAAAGTGCACAAAAGATGTAGAATGCTTATTTCACCATGATTGTTCGTGAAACCACTACAGCTTGGAATTGTAAGTGTAATATTGATATTGCATCGATCTCAAGGTGCCGATTAGTATGTCGTCTGAGTATCTGTGATGGGGGCAGATAGGCCCCACACTGGCAACAAGCAGCTTAATGAGGCAGATAGACTCCACACTGGCTACAAAAGGATTAAGGAGAGCCTGTGATCCAGCTGACCCCACCCTCCTATGCCTCTGGCCAATGTCAGGTGTGGAGAGGGGAGTTAAAAGGAGGACATCTAGTCCAGTTGAGGGCTGACCAGGAAGGAGAGCAGAGCCCTGCTACTTCTCTCAACAAGGCAAGTCTGGCTGTAGTCAAGAGCAAAAGGCAGCTTGCTAAGTGGATAAACCATTTGGGGGATGGGATGACTAGGCCCAGGAAGAAGGACATGAAGGGACTAGGGACATGCAAAGACAAGCCCGGAGCAGAAGGGTAGCGTCCTGCCAACAAATCTTCAGATGCACCTGATTTTTAGTTCACTGTTTTTTGTCACTTTTTGTTTTGTCATCTAACACACTGGAAGTGGTAGGACTCCAGTGTGCCTTAGCTGGGGTGGTTAAGGCACCATGGCACCAGATCTGCGAGGGGTGACACAATCATCAGGGACCTGCAGTAGCGGAGTCGTCCCTGACAGGCTGCCTAGACAACCCAGTTACAGAGCTCTTTTAAAAAATTAGAAATCTAGGGTCAGATCTTCAGCTACAGCTAATACACTGACCATGCTGCTTGGGCATGGGTAGATTGTGGGAAAGCCGAAGCCAGTCCAGTACCTGGTGTTACTTGGATCAGCATTAATGTGGCATGATATCTTCAGGAACTTCTGCTGGAGGAGTGCACCTCCACAGCACCCCTTACTGCAGATAGTAGCCGACTACCTGGGATGCATAAGAACATGGGATAGATAGAAGACATAAAACCATGGAGAATTTAAATCTGAATTATGTGATCATAAATATGAAATAAATGGGAACAAGATTAAGGCCTCCATGTCATATTAACAAGCTTCTTTTGGGCAAAGAAAGAACCTGGAAAGAGCAGTAAAATGTCACCTTGGGAATAGGGACCACAGCAAGAGTCTGAAAGAATACGGACATGCAGCTAGTATAAACGGGCATAGCTCCATAGCTTTCAATGCTGATTTATACCAGTTGAGGATCTGGCCCGTACTGCTCAAGCCAGAATTAAGTCGCAGATGGAAAGTTTTGTTCATTCTAATCTCACCATTTTAGGATGAGCCTAAATCCACTGTTATTCATCTCTGAATTTTCAGTCAAAATATTAATATTTGTTATATTACCTTCTGTATGGGTTACATATGTATTATACTGATTTTATACAAACACTCATATAATAGATGTTTAACTTACTTTTCAAAAGTCAATTGATTGTACAGTCTAACTCTTCTCTATATAATAGATAGTGTAATGGACCTGATTGTGCATCCTGTTACATTAATTTAAGTCAGGAGTAACTCCACTGGATGGAATTACACCAATATAAATGAGATAAGAATTAGGCCTAATGTTGTTTTGTAACCTATTTATATCTGATCTTTATCTAGCCAATCCTCCGAAGAAGATGATGTTTTCAATAACTTAACAAGGAGGAGGAATTCTATTGGTTTGAATGGATATCTTTCTTCAGAATCTGACCATGGTACTAATGGGGGCATGACTCAAACAAAACAACTGCAGAGAATAATCTCCATTGAAGAAGATCCCTTACCCCAGCTTCTTGAGATGCCAGTTGAGAAGCAGTACAGCAAGTGGACAGAAGAAAATGACAATGTCTCCCCAGAAAAGGAAATGGATGAGAAGCAAATTGTGACAGCTTTAGACCACACACCATTGTCTCTCAGAGAGCAGCCAGTAGGGAAAGAAACACAATCAAATGTAAGGGGACAACTTACCTTAAATGAAGGAGGAGGGTATCATGTAATAAATTAATGTCACAAGCCAAAATCATTTGGCTTCCCTTTTGTAGACACAAGTTCCACCTATACAATTTGGATGCACATTTTGACACCTCTAATTGATTTGTTCATGCAAATCTGATTACTTAGGCCTCTGGCTACTTGATTGCATAAGGTACCTAAATGCAGATTTGTGCCTAAAATTCGTTTTGAAGGTGCAAAACAGGGAAGCCAGGCATCAGCTGAAAATATACCCAAGAATTATGATAGTGAGGAACCGAACAATTGTGTGAATTAAATTATACATTTTGTATAATTGCATGAGGCCATTTCTTACCATCTTTATGAGATCATAATCAGGTCAGCACCAAATCAAGGTACTAAAGGTGATTATGGAAAAATCTCACTGGATATGTTCAAAGTGGAGACGAGACAGACAGCCAAATATAAGGGACTGTTTAGGAACATTGAAATCAGACCTAATGATGATATTGGGAAATGGGACTAGAGGATCCACTAAAGGGTAGAGCTGGACAAAAAAGAAGCTTTGTGACCATATACCTGGAAATTTTGTCCTTTTTTTGGTCAAAATTTGAAATTTTGATTAAATTTAGAACAAGTTTTTATAGCTGTTGGGGAAAAATGGGATTTTTTTTTTTGCAAAACTTTATGCGAAAAATGTACCCTGCTTTTTTGGGACAAAATGAGAACAATTTTTTTCACTGAAAAATCAAAATTCAGAAAAAATTTTCTAGCTCTACTCTCACATTAATGTTCATATCAGAAAACTGAATTGTGTGCACAGTCCAGACTTTATAAAATAATATCCAGGAAAGGGCAACTCTGCAGTCAAAAACCTTACTCAGATTCTCACTCCCTTGTAGCTTACTAGCTAATTTTAGTATAGCTATGAAGTGTCATCCATTGCTTGATTCCTGAAGTATATATTAAAAAGATTAAGGTATGGAAAAATAGGTATACTCAGTCTTAATTATATAGCTTGCTCTTCTAAAAGAAAGAGGTACTATGCACATCTTTAAAACGATCATAAAATGATGCCATGGTTACATAATAACTGTTATAATTGGCGCACTTTGTTACAAAGTATAACCTAGGTAGAGAAATGCCTTTCCATTAAAAAAAGGAAAGCTGATCAAAACTATTTAGATCATTAATGTGATATAGCCACAAGGTACTTTGTACTGTTCTCAAAATAGAAGTATCCTCAATTACTGGGTATTACTTACTCTGAACAGCTGGATCTTTCCTTCACTTATGATCAAGTGGACCTTTTACAGAAGAAAGCTACTGAATTTACTAGCTACTTAAATAATAGTAAGATGTCCTAGCACTAGTTAGCTGTCAGAAAGTGTATATTAAAGACTTAAATCAGAGAATTAGCTTATTAGTGACAGTAAATGACAATTGGAAAATCTATTAGCTGGTTTCTTAAATAAATTGATACTAGGAACTTAAAATATTAAGATTGCTCAGGATTTCTCTCAAGTCCTTTGTATTTTAGAAAAGAGAGGCAGTAATTTTACTCAAGAAGTAGCACAGTCTAGTGGCTCAGCCACATGGGTAGGATTCAGGAGATCGTGGTTCTATTCCCAGTTGTGTGACTGACCTGCTGGGTGATTCTAGGGCAGTGATTCCCAACTATTTACCATTGTGGCCCACAATGTGTGATGTGGGCGGCATCTAACTACCTGTATGGCCCTGAGGATGGGCTGTAGCTGTGTGCTGATTGGGCTGCAAGTGGCCCACAGGTTGAGAACCACTGTTCTAGGGCAAGTCACTTCCCCTCTTTGTGATTCTGTTTTCCCTCCCACGGCTTTGTCGGTCCTGTCTATTTAGAGTGTAAGATCTTTGGGGCAGGCACTGCCTCATGCTGAGTGTTTGTACTGTGCCTAGCCCAATGGGACCCCAACCTCAGCTGGGGGTTCTAGGATCTAGAATGAATATCTGTGCCAAAATTTTGCACTCACATGGGTACATTGGCATCCACTAATATCAGTGACAGCTATTGATGTGCACCCAAGGGATTAAATTGGCTCCACTGGTGCTTTTTATATACTATCCCAGCTCACTTCCAGTAAAGCACTGTCCCATTATAGTCCTACAACCCCAGTACTGGAGGTCACGCAGAGCCTCCTCACCTACCAGGCTCCCTGGGAAGCATGGTTCAGGGCAGAGAGCATGCCCTCTGCTATATCTCATAAGAGGCTGCAACACATGTTTCCCTGTATGGTCAAACAAGCCCGCTGACAAGTGTGGAGGGTGGGGGCCCAGGACACTGTCTTCTTCCTGCTCCCTTTAAGGTGATTACCACCCCGGGCAGGGCGCTAGCAGTGAGCAGTCCCTGTACTGAGTGGAGCCTAGAGGTTGCGAGTGTGACCAGAGCCGGCCTGTGAGGCACAAGGTGTGTGTGGGGGGAGGGCTAGATACTCTTAGTGCGTCCCCTGTCCCTTTGTGCACCTACTCAGAGCAGCCACAGTCTGGCCCTGAAGTCTATTTCAGTTTGTTTTTCTAGTTTAGCTTTACATTTCCCAAGCAATGGAACTTTCCATTCTTCCCTGGGGAGACCTCTCCATAGCCTCAGAGATGGCACAGTCAAGGCATTTAAACTGCAGCGGCCAGCCACTCTGATCTCATGCTATCCACTGCTAGGACTCTGCCTCCCTTTCCCTTCTGGCTTTTCCCACCAGCACTGGCAGCAGGGCTGGGGGCATTGTTGTTCCATGAGTGAGGGCCCCTACAGCCTGCTGTCTGTGCATGCAGACTCCCTCTGGAGTCTGTTAAAGCTGCAAAGGAGGAATTGCTCCTGCCACTGCATCATAAGTTTCAAGGAGTCCCCCCGGGGGATGTGCCTTGAAGAGTGGTTGTCCCCCTCCTTCTCCAGTCGATTTTATCCCATATTATGCTATACGGTGGATCTTCAATGTAAATGCCATGCACGGTCTAGAGATGATTATGTTATGGGGGCAGAATTATACCATGTAGTCATATAGCCCTCCCCTAAGGCCACCCACGTCCTGTTCTCAACAGTGAAACCCTTCTGTTCTCCACTCTGCCTTGGGGAGGGGAGCATCGAGACCTAGATGTTGTTAATTCCCTAGAGTTTGCTCTCCTGAAGTCTCACACCCTTATGTTGATACGTTCTGTGGTCCCAGCCCTTTCTGCACTGAGTACAAAGAGCTCCGGGTCGCTGGTAGTAAGTTTCCCTAATCACCTGACATTCTAAATCAACTCTGAGAGCTCCTTATCAGAAGGGTGGTAGAGCTTGTGTAAATCAGTTCTCTTCTAGAAATGAATGAGTCTTTTTCGTTCCCGGGTTATCATGTCCCAAGCACAGATGGATAGTTTCACAGAGAGGGCACTGAAGCAGTGCAATGTGCCAGCAACCTCCGCATTGCTGAAGGGCCCAGAGCTGGGCAGCCCATCTTCAAAGCGGGTGGCACTGGCTGGGATGTTGTAGCTAGAGTGCCCAAGGATGTGCTGAGGCAACCTTTTGTGGGGACCCAGTTAGAGATGAAAATTATGCTCTCAATCCAAAGCCCATCGTCTGCACTCCCTCTGGTAAATCACCTTAGGAGCCGCAAGCCAGGCAGGCACAGTTAGGTACAGTTCTCCCCTCTCTGCTCCAACAAGATGGAATCAGGTCCATTGAGTATATGCCTTCCGCCCCACACATTTCTATTAAATCTGCCAAAAACCGACATATGTGACTTTGGTTGTGTGCTGTGTATAGGAAGGTCATTAACAGCACATGACATCGAGATCAAAATCTGAGACCATATTGTAGTCCTAAGAGAAATTTATATTCCAATAGCATATGGCAACGTACCTTTCCAATTCAAGATCTAATAATCTGGGGAGAGTTTGTAACTTGTTTCTGCTGATCAGAGGTTTCCAAGCAGTGGCTGATTCCCACGTTGGGATGAGGGAAGACATTTTGCCCACAGGACAGACTGGTCAGTCCTTTCAGGGCATAGAGTTAGACTTCAGGTGCATCCAGCAGGGAGTCATCTGAAGCCAAGAGTTCAACAAAAACCAGCTTGAGGCATTAGCAGCTGCATCTCCTTTGCAGCTTGCATGGCTGGAATCTCTAACAATAGCTGTTGGATGGCTTAGTCCTGTCATAAGTATTCAGCCGGGGATGAAGAGGCTCATCTTTATGCTCAGTTTAGACGTGGCATTGGAGCCATATGTTTGATTACAAAGGTAGGTTTCCCTCATGAGTGGGGCAGATGCATCTCATAGGGAAATGGCTGACTGGGCAATAGGTGGGTTGAGCCAAGACCCAATGGTGCTCTCAGGCTGTTAACTCTGCCAATTTGTGTGTGGCCACTGAGGACGAGATTTTTGATGCTGGCTAACTGAGCTATTGTTATGACCTAATAGATTTGCAGTTTAGGGCCTTCCAGTTCAAGCTTGGGTGGGCGGCTGTCTGTGTGTATGTGTGTGTGAATGTTATTTCCCAGCACCCAGATTACACACGCACACACACCATGATGATTGCTGTTGGAAACAGGATAGAGGCTCAGGGTGATTTTCAGCAGATTTGAGAAATTGCCTTACATATATAGAAGCGTGCATATTGCTAAAAGCCTAAAGGTGCAATGCAGTTTGAGTTTTTAATCTAAAAGGATAAGGGGGCGATGCGATAAGAGATCTCTGCACAGTTATAACAATGGCTGTTATTCTAACACATGAAGATAGCTAGCTAGCTAGATATTTGCTCCAAATGTTGACCCCGGTGAATGGATTTCTTACAGTTAAGGGACACAGCGGAGGGCTTTTTCTCTAGTACGAATACAACTATTTTTTCCCAGGATAATTCAGTATTTTCTTCACAGCAGTACAGAATATTGGGTGGGCTGGATTTCTACCTTGCATTGAAGGGAACACCAGGCAGGCTGCCTGCTGGAAGATCTGGGCCAGCCCCCAGCACCCTTGTGCATATGTTGGAGTGCTCACTTTACATTATAGGGGGAATCACCCGGCCTCTTTTTCTACAGAATTAGTATCATGCTCCCCACCTCGCCTTCCCCCTTCAGCCTCTCCGTCCTAGAGCATCAGGATGGTTCTGGCCCCCACTGCAAACTCACTGGTGCTGCTCCATTTTTCCCTAAACCACTGCAGCTGAAAATACAAGGGAAGGGATTTTGGAATAATGATGTACCTAAAATAGAGCAGAAATAGTCTTCTCCAGCATCCCCACTCAGTTTAATCTACAAAACATGGAAAATTCTCTCATACTTGAGAAGCTAAGAGGTTATCACCTTCACCCTGCCAAAGATTAATAGCTTAATTAACCGGGCCTGATTCTCCTCTCATTTATACCAATTTTATACTGGTGTAAATCAGGAAGCTCCTGGATCTACACCAGTAGCAACTGAGAGCACAATCAGACAATACAAATTATAAAACAGCTTATAAATTTGCTTGTGTTCTCTAGGTAAAGACACACAGTCTATGATATGCATAAAGTTTAGTGTGGGGCGGCTCTGAACAAAGCTGTGCAGAGCTTGTTGGTTTGGACTTGCAGGGGTAAATGCAAACCTTTTTGTTTCAGCTCACATGGGGCTTGGACCCCAAAATTTGGCTGAGAATCAGATAGAATTGCTAAGGCCATGGACTTATAAAATCAGCAGGAGAGCTGTATTTTTTTCTGTTTTGGACTAAAAAGAAAATTATGTTGACTTAAAAAATTGAGCTCAAAGATGCTAGAAATTCTTGGGGGAAAAATACAACTTTGATAAAAATTCAATACTTCACCCTTTCTGTTATGTGACAAAAAGGCTCACAATTCACAGCTAAGAACTCTACAGAGTCTTCCACTAAAACCAAGGGAGGCCAGACTGGACATTCCTAATATCATTAAGGTAAAAAACAAACAAAACTCTTAAAAAAAAACCAACCCAACCAACCAGACAAAAGCTCGTAAGGTTATTTCATAAGTCACCAAGAAGGAAGGGTACAGCCTCAATTTTTCCCCCTTTGCAGGTCATCTTTAAGTCTTTACAAATTGGAAAAGGCAACAGAGTTAGAGTTTAAATTGTCAACTAACTTTTGTGCTTGTTTGAAGGAAGAGAGAATATACTCTGCCCCTGATCGCTTATTCAAGATTGTTTTTGTGGGCAATTCAAGTGTGGGAAAGACTTCGTTTTTAAGGCGATTCTGTGAAGGCCATTTTTCCCCAAACACATCTGCTACCGTAGGTAAGTTTAAGAAACATTATGATGATGATTACAGTAGTACCTAGAGGCTCCAACCAAGACTGTGACCCTGTTGTGCTAGGTGCTGTACAAATGCATAGTGAGAGAAAGTCCTTGTCCCAAAGAGGAGAAGCAAAGGGACAGAGAAGTGATGTGTTACCTGAGGTCACAGAGCAGATTAGTGGCAGAACTGAAATTAGAACCCAGTGGTGAAATCGTTGGCTCATTGAAGTCATTGGCAAAACTCCCATTGATTTCAGTGGAGCCAGGATTTTTCCTTGGGTCTCCTTGCTTCTCATCTAGTAACTAAGGCACTAGATCACACTGCATCCCAAAAGATTAATAAGATTTGTGACCATCACTGAAATCATAATTGCCTAATTTTCCAGGAAAAAAAGCTTTGTACGGAGCAAAAGAGAAAAATGTTAGCGATAAATTGACAAAGCTGGGTGCTTAACTGGTGCCAACATAGCTTGTGCTTGCAACAGTTGCACTTACAAGTCAGACCTTCAGACTATATGCATAATTTCCTGGGGCTTCCAGAAGGAAGGCACCGATGTTGTGGCCTGCAGCTTAGATGGCAAGTTTTTAAATGTAACCTCTAACGCGCAACAGTAACTCATTATCTGTGTGAGTCACACCAGGAAGTGGGTTATTTGGCTGGCCTGCAAATACAGATAAACCAAAAGTAACATTACAAAAATAAGAACTGCTGATAAGACTGACAGAGCAGACTGTGCAGAACAGCTGGTCATTCAAAACCTTGACAAACCCAGATGCAACTCAAACCCACTTCCATGAAACTGGATTTTGGTAGTGGAAACATCCTCCCCAATCCATCTGAATGTTCTGATTACTCACTGAAGGCATTAGGACCAGATCCATTAAACTCAGTGGCAACACTCCCATTGACATCAGTCTAGCAGGAGCCAATCTTAGCAGAATGGTGCAGAAGGAGGCAGTGTAACCTAATGGTTAGAGCACGTATCATTACAAATATCCAAGAAATGTATAAATCAAAGCTAGAGAGAACTTATTTAAGCATACTAGGCAACATTTTGAAAAGTGCCTATATGGCTTAGCAGCCTACGTCACCTTGACTGTCAGTGGGACTTAGGATCCTAAATCACTCTGTCTCTTTTGAAAATTTTACTCATCCTGACTTTTTGTGAATTAAATTAATTTGTTAACACATTTACATTTAATATGTTTGTTATTACTTTAAAACTATGGGAAATAAAAGCTTCTGCCTGTTCTTATTATCAACCTGTTGTTAAAGGCCAGAATTTATTGCATGCCTTCTGAACCAATGAACACAGGTTAGAAATATTTGTGGCTTGTTTGAACATGACACTATTACCTTAAACTACCATGAACCTGATCAGATCATCAGAATGAACCTGAGACAACTTGTGCTGTGTTTATAGGTATAGATTACAGTGTGAAAACAGTGACAGTGGATAACAGCCAGATAGCCCTGCAACTCTGGGACACTGCTGGGCAGGAACGGTGAGAAAATGTCTTAACTTTCTACTCTCCTACTCTGTGCATTTAGAAAATAGCAGCCTTGGGCTCAATCCTGCTCCCCAAAAGTGGGGAGAAATGGGCGTATTCTCATTTAGTTCAGTGAAAGTGAGAGCAGGCCTTTGATCCTTTCCCAGAAGGATCAATATTGGCTAACAGGGTGGGGTGTTTCAGGCAAACACTGCCAGCCTGTTGTAGAGACTCTTTGGCCTGGTCTACACTACGACTTTAATTCGGATTTAGCTTCGTTAATCCGAATTAACCCTTCACCCGTCCACACTACAGAGCCAGTTAATTCGAATTAAAGGGCACTTAAAATCGATTTCTGTACTCCACCTCGACGAGCGGAGTAGCGCCTAAATCGATTTTGTTAATTCGAATTAGGGTTAGTGTGGCCGCACACCACCGAATTACTGTGGTTAAAGTAATGGGGTAGTGTGGCCGCACACCACCGAATTAATGTGGTTAAAAACCGAATTAATGTGCTTAGTGTGGCCGCGCACAATCGAATTTATACAACCTGTTTCCCAAATTCGAATGATCTAAATTCGGATTAATCCTGTAGTGTAGACATACCCTTAAAGAAATAGTCCCATAAGCTACTATTAAGGAGCGGAGCTGGTTGAAAATGTTCTGTCAGAAAGGTTTTTTCAACAGAAAATTACTTTTTAACAAAATGGAAATATTCACACACAAAATATCTGTTTCCATTTAAATGTTTCATGTTTTCATTGAAAGACAAAAAAAATGAAAAACATTAATTTTGGCTGGAAAAAAAATTGCAGTTTTCAGTTGCTAAAAATTGAAAAGTTTTTTTTTTTTCAATTGAAGCCTGAATAATTTTTCACATAGAGGAGTGAGGAATTCCTGAAATGACACACAAGGTGAGGTTAGGAGGACGTGAGGCATGGGTCAGAGCATACGTGCTACCATCGGTAGTACAAGAACAGAAAGACAAGGGAAAGGGTCAGCAGCAGGATTTTTCAAAACGCTTTACTGCACATTTTTGTTTACTTGATCTTTTAGTCATTGACACTGTGAGTTCCGTACATGGGATTGCCACTGAAGGAGAAAAAGAATGAACTCTTTAGGAGTAGATAAAAAGGGGACTGATAAATCCAGAAGGCACTGCATTTGTTCCCTCGCCATATTTCACAGTATAGCTCAATTTTCCCTTCAGATCTACACTGCACTCTATTGCAAATTTTGCACTCATCTAGTACGTGGGATTGTCAGCAATAACAATGGAGGTTTCATGTGTAAAATAAGTAGGAAGAAAATCCACTCTGCTCGTCAGAGAGCAGAAATGTGTCCCCTGAATGTAAATTCATATGTAAGCTAAGTAAATGAAGCTTTGGTCCTCCAGCTCTTACTTATGTGAATAAACCTTAGTATGGCAACATGGTGAGCTCTTTTTCCATCTCTGCCATTGACTTGCCACTTAAACCTTTCTATGCCTCCGTTTACTGTGCATCTATAAATGAGTGTAATAAGCTTAACCACCTTTGTAAATTACTGTAAGATCTATAGATGAAAAGAGCTATAGATGTACTGTTGTTACAGCTCATGTGTGTAATCCCATTGACTTCAGTAGGACTACTTGAGTGAGTAGGGATTACACATGCGAATAAGGGATGCAGAACTGGGCCCTGATTTAAGAAGATATTTGGCTCCACATGCCCATATATCTGTGGCCCAAACTGAGCTTATAAGAATGCAAATGTTCTATCTAGATCCCTGTGTATAAATCTTCAGTGCTGCAGGACTGAAGGGTTGGTGTACAGCTTCTGACTACTATACTGTAATCATATTGTCACATTGCTACTGCTCTAAGGCAAAGGACTATAAACAGATTCTTGTTTGCAGGTACCGCAGTATTACCAAGCAGTTTTTCAGAAAAGCCGATGGTGTCATTGTGATGTATGATATAACAGCAAAAGACACATTCACAACTGTCAAACAATGGTTGGTGAGCATTGAGGTAAGAGGACGTAGCTTTCAATCTAAACTACTCTGGCCACAGGCTCTAACTTCTTGAGGCGCTCCCTCCAGGTGGGGGTTATGGGCAGGTCAAAAAGGAGGAAGTAAGGTCCTACCACTTCTTGTGCTGTAGCAATTACTCTGTTATATATAGGACTTCAGTTCACAGAGCTGCCAAGCCAGCTTTTTACAGAAGCCCTACTTCCATTTTATAGGAAAACAATAGTCATTCTAAAATTTCAAGGAGTATATCTCTTCAGTGGCCACCATTGATTGGATGTATGTCCATCTTTCCTGGTACCTGGCTTAATCTGAGGGAAAGAATTCCCAGCATGCACTCCTCTGCTTCCTGTATCAGTACACATTGATCATTGTCATTGGAGTTGAAAGATGCTTCAGTGCAGTGATGTAATTCATAAGAGACAGTTTTGCAACGGCTACATCTTTAAGTTAGGAGATTTTAAATAGGTTGCTCATGTAAATCAACGGTATCCACAGTAAGTGCTGTAAAACTGGTTTATTTTATAGGATTCAGCTTCCTGAAAAAAATTCTGTGGAATATCTTGTTTTTCTCCCCCTGCCCACACCCAGCCATAGTACCTGCCCCAGTGAGCTTCCTGCGACTTAAAAATGCTATTGTCTATTCAGATCTTATGGCAGTAAGCACAGTATGCTAATATATGAAACACTGTTATCTGTATTGGCCACTAGGTGGCCACTGTACTTTGGAGTTAGGCCCCAGGGCCAGATTAACTCTCCTGTGGGCCCAGGGCTATTAGATTTTGTGGGGCCCCTGTATACAAGTCTTTTTCCTAATTTAAAACAAAATGATCACAATTATGGCATCGAGGCTATTAACACTATATTAAATTTGCCTTTTAATTAACATAAAGCCATTCTGTGGCTACATTTCAGTCTTAAAACATGTAGAATATAGTTAAGTTAATTCAAAATAGCCTGCTTCTTACCTTAGAACAGCAGTTATATTAGTTTCTTTCTGGGAGGGATTTTGGGTGCAGAAGGGGGCTTCAGGCTGGGGCAGAGTGTTGGGATGCAGGAGAGGGTGAGGGGTGCGGGCTCTGAGAGTGAGTTTGGTGCAGGAGGGGATTCTGACCTGGGGCAGGAGATTGGGGTGCAGGAGAGGGTGCGGGGTCTGGGCGGGAGTTTGGGTGCAGGAGGGGATTCTGACCTGGGGCAGGGGGTTGGGGTGCAGGCTCAGGCCAGGATGTGCTTACCACAGGCGGCTCCCAGTCAGTGGCACAGCAGGGATTATTACATCACACCAGAAAGGCAAGGGAAGAAGGATGATACAAAAAAGGCACTTCCTTCCTGCAGAGTAGGATGACTGCTAAATGCTTCAGGTCTGTCAGATAAGAATCAGCTCCCTGGACTTTATCAGAGTGACACTTTTGCTTTGTCTGTGGGATGCTTTGGAGTACAGAATTTCAAAATTCAGCAACAATATCTTTGTGAGCGACACTCAAACTCCAACCTAGAACACAGAGTTTAGATTCTAAGTGCCTACTTAGACAACTCACAGACAACTCATGGCTCAGGCAGGCTGCCGGCCTGCCTGCGATAGCCTCACGCCGCTCCCAGAAGCAGCCAGCTGTTGGCAGGTCTCTGCATGCCCCTGGGAGGAGGGCGACAGCATGTCTCCGTGCGCTGCCCGTGCCCGCAAGTGCCACCCCTGCAGCTCCCATTGGCTGGTTCCTGACCAATGGGAGCTGCAGGCATGGTGCTGGGGGCAGGGGCAGCGTGCGGAGCCTCTTTCCCCTCCCACCAGGGGCCATAGAGACGTGCCAGCAGCCAGCCACTTCCGGGAGCGGTGTGGGGCCAGGGCATGCAGGCTGCCTGCCTGAGCCCTGCTGCGCCACTGGACTTTTAGTGGCCCAGAGATCGCGATTGACTGGAAGAGGCTCCAGGATCGACGACTGGTTGGTGACCACTGAATTATATATAATTAGGGATTTATTTTTGCGGGGCCCCCCTTAGTCCGAGGCCCTACACTGCAGCCCTAAAGCCCTTGTGTTATTCTGGCTTTGTTAGGCCCCAATTGTTCAAATACTTACCACTGTCAGTAGCCCTGACCACTGTCAGTAGCCCCATTGAGGTAAACCCGGTATTAAGTATTTGCAAGACCAGGCCCTTATTTAACATGTTTTCTGAACAATTCAACATTTATAACAATTCAGCACTTTAAAAAATAGCTTTAGAAGAGAATTTTCCTTTTGATAAGGAAACGTGGCCTTCTTTTCAATTCCAATATTTTACATATTTGATTAATCTTGACTGACTAATTTTGGGAGATGTTAACTAGCACTGAGTTCAAGACATATGGCCAAATCCATTGTCTTTAACTCAGGCAATGTGCATACTTAATCCCTGGTGTACTTTTGGTAATATACTCATTCTGATAGTGTTTTACTTGGTAATATATATTACCACTTTTCAGAATTACATTTGATCAAATATATTATCTCCATTTATATTATGTACTTTGATTGGTATGATTGGATCCAAATGCAGTTGTTTTCATGCCTATCTAATTGGAAAAGTAGGGTCAGATACCTGTGGTTTTATGTAGCACAGTATTTCTTTTCTTTTTCTTTCTTTTTTTTTATTAATTTGTTTACGTCTGAATGATTTCTGAGCTGTTCTGTTATTCAAGGAATGTCAAGGATGGTAATGCATTTCTAGTACAGAATGTCTCCTTTATTCCTTTTGTCCAATTCTGTTGCCTGATATAGTTCTTCATAAAATAACACTTTACTTGCCTGATTCGTCTTCAGTATTTTCATTTTCATGTTGGCACCTGGTGGGTCTCGGCTCTGCTTCATCTGTAATCATTTTTTAAAATATTTTAATGATGTTGACATATTGTGTGCAGCATGGTGTTGTGTTCTTTGCTCTGCAGGAGGCAACTGGAGAGAATATACCTGTCCTTTTGCTGGGTAACAAAACCGACAATGAAAAAGAACGAGAAGTCCCTCGTGGACTAGGAGAACATCTAGCCAAGGTACAGTATGAAGAAGGGAATCGGTAATAAAACTAAAAAATGAAAGTGTTTAATGGATGTTAGACTATATCTAGAAACTCAGAAATACAAGTTATTATTTTTACTAGTCGATCTTGGTGAATCATTTCTAGTGAGTAATTATTTGATTAATTTTGTCTCTTAATGAACTACCTGAAAAATGTCCTGCATTTGTTATTATTTGTAATTGTTTGTCAAATTATTTATCAGAACAACTTGCAGCCTGTGGTTTTCCTGTGAATTGTAACGACTGATAATTATGAATGTGTGGTTGGTCACCTAAATCACATGGTGGTGTTTCTGATCCATGACTGCAGGGGCGGCTCCAGGCACCAGAGCAGCAAGCGCATGCCTGGGGCGGCAAGCTGCGGAAGGCGGCCTGCCGGTCCCTGTGAGGGTGGCAGTCAGGCGGCCTTCGGCGGCATGCCTGCGGGCGGTCCACCAGTCCCGCGGATTCGGTGGCAATTCGGCGGCGGGTACGCCAAAGCTGCGGGACCGGCAGACGTCCCGCAGAAATACCGCTGAATTGGCATGACCAGCGGACTGCCCGCAGGCACGCCGCCAAAAGCCGCCTGACTGCTGTGCTTGGGGCGGCAAAACACATAGAGCCGCCCCTGCATGACTGGATGATGAACTTTTAAACAGGAGAATAATGAATGATGAACACTGAAGAGTGAATGATGGTATATCTCCTTAGGGATTCTCTTTTTTCCCCCTCATAGTGTAGACAATTTCTTAATAAATTGTTTTGTGGACACCTCCCTCCATTTACAATCCCATAACATCCCTATGACACCTACAGCAGTTACTTCCATGGGAAGTCATGATAGAAAATTATGTATTTTTAGCTTCTTTTACTGTGATTTAGTAGCTGGAAACAAGAAGAAGCAGCAGCTCTCTGTGGAGTACCCACAAGTGCTCTTCAAACCACCCATGATCCATGAGCCATAGTTTGAGAACCAGTGGACTTAGGATGACCAGATGTCCCAATTTTATAGGGACAATCCTGATATTCAGGGCTTTTTCTTATAGAGGCGCCTATTGCCTCCCATTCTGTCCTGATTTTTCACACCTCCTATCTGGTTACCCTAAATGGACTAGCAAATAACAAAAGCACTTGCTTACACACAGATATTATTTTTGCATTCAGATGTATAGTAAATATGAATTCAGATGAATAACAGCACCTCCAAAAGATTAATCTACATAGAAATCAGTTGTCCAAATCTTCATGAGAAAATGAATTAAAAGGGGCAGAAATATGACTGAATCAAATCAGTTATCTGATTCCATGAATATGTCTGTAAATACATTTTCCCATTATTCATTACTTATTGGTAATGGATTTACTAGTTTGTCCAAATTGCAATGAAGTCAGTGGAATTATTCTGTATTTGCACCAATATAACAGAGCAATACTTGGCCCTGTAAATATAATTTAAAGAGTTAGGGCTATATGCTACTTTTGACCTATACACAGACTGATAATAATACATTGCTATATATAGGTCTTGTGTTGTTATATGGCTTTTATTTTGTGTTTATAAGATGAAGAAGGGTGCTTTCTTATTTAGGGCCTGATCTTACTCCCATTATAGTGAGTTACAAAATTCCCATTGACTTCAATTCCCATATTATCAGCCCCTTACTCAGTACCTAAAAGTTTCTGTATTTAGCAAATCTGTTTGGTTTTTGTGTAAGAATCCAAATGCAGGTATAATTTCAGGCCCTGCAGGTTACTTTCTAGGAAAAACTCCAAGGTATTATTATTGTAGCCTTATGCAAAAAGCAAGTGACACACGAAAGGTAAATGGAGGGAGTGGGTGGCTATTTGTCATTTAGCTCTTTTTAAAAATGGGCAACTAGTAAAGTGAAGATGAATCACGCTGAGATGCAAAACTTGCAGCCCACCAGGTCATTAGCTGTAACATGGCATGTAAGGAAATAAAATGTTTTACAAAAGTAACGTAGAACAATGTCAAATGAAAAATGATAACATTCAAATGAATGAATACTCATTAGAATACATTGCTTGATGGAGCAAAAGTAAGGAGTGATCAGTGACAATTTGTCATCTGAAAAGCTGCAGAGATTTAATTAAATTATAGCAATTTGCCTGTTGAGCTTATAATAATGTATTTTAATGGATATTAATTACTGTTAAATGGCAATGTAATTCCTAGGAAACCACGTATGACATCTCCATTAACGAATCCACTTGAGTTGCTTACTTACATGAATTACTCGTCTCGGGCACTCAGACTGCACTGGGTCAGATCCTCATCTGGTGTAAATCTGCACAGCTTCATTAACGTCAAAGGAGCTAAGCCTATTTATACCAACAGAGGATCTGGCTCATTGTCAGTAGGTTTTCAAGAACGTTGGTGGATCGCATTTAAAGTACTGTAGGTCACATAGTGCAGCTCTCATTGCTTCATGAAACTTTGGTAATTAGAAGCCTGGAGCCTTACTAGCTAGATAATGTGGTGTAGAAATCAGCCAGAAGTCTTCCTGGGGATTCCTGCTGTAGGGCAGCCTTCCTGCAACCCCTCTAGCATGCCTAAGGATGCCTAACATTGCAATGTTGGCACACCAAAGAAAGTCCTATCAAATTCTCATCACTTGAAAGGATTGGAGGATGCAGTACGATGCCTCAGGAAATGGATAAAGGGAGATAGGCACGTCCAACAAGGATAGGGAAGGCCCTGGTGGGAATGATGGGGGGGCAGCTAGACCTTGAGAAAGCTTAATCAGCAACATGAAAGAACAAGCACCCCAACATTAATCAACGCTGTCTGGTATGCAGACTTGACATTGCAGAATGGGAGCAATAACCTCAAAGCAAAAGTACTCATGTTTAATATAAATCTGATAGTGTCCAATATGATCTCTCTAAGAAGGCAGTAGAGTTACTGTCACAGATCAGGGCAACTGCACCTGTATTCCTCCTCCATGGGCTCCCACGCTCAGGCGTCCAGCCATCCCCTCTCTTGGCCAGAGATAAGTCTCACTCACTCCTGGCTGGGGTTTTTCCAGACTGCATAGTTCCCTGCCTACATTGTGATATGCTCAGCAAGCCAGACTGCCTAAAAAGGCCACTGTCTGCACTTTGCTTTCTCTTGAGAGGTTATGAAGAGTTGTAAAATTGCTGCCAGTTAGAAGTCACCACACAGCTCTTTTTAAGCAAGCACTTTTATTCGTAAGGTGAACACATTAAGAACATAAGAACAGCCATACTGTGTGAGATCAGTGATGCTTCTAGCCCAGCATCCTGTCTCTGACAGAAGCAGATACCACAGCTTCAGCGGGACGCACAGATCAGGGCAATTTGGAGAGCTCCACCCCTGGCTTCCCCTCCTGACTTCTAGTAGTTAGAGGTTATGGGTCACCCCAAGCATGGGGATACATCCCTGACCATCTTCGCTAATAGCCATGGATAAACCTAACCTCCATGAACTTCTCCAATCCTTTTTTGAACCCAGTTATACTTTTGGCCATCACAACATCCTGTGGCAATGAGTTCCACA